TTTTGCTCAGGTTTGACGAGTCGAATATTGCGAACTTCACTCTAGTAAGGTTAGAATCGCCTATCCCATCCTCACAAAGATGTTCTGCGCGAGGACGTTCATGAAAGGCATTATTTGCTTCAGTTGCGAGTCTTCGGGTGCGAATGATACCTAAGTTTCTGCAAGCTCTTACACCAAAGCAGAGAGGTTGAAAATGGCTCTAATGACACCTGATCCAACATTTTACCCTTCAGCTCGCCTGGCTGGTCAGGCACCGGCCGAGCGTCTCGGTTACGTGTCTGTCTTGAATACCAATGGCAAGCCCGACGCCATCTCGGTAGTTGACTTGGACCCCGCCTCGCCCACCTACAGTTCCATTGTCAACTCCTTGGAAATGCCGAATGTGGGCGACGAATTGCATCACTTCGGGTGGAACGCCTGTAGTGCTTCCCTCTGTCCTTACGCACCCCACCCTCACCTGGAACGGCGTTACCTAATTGTCCCAACGCTGAGGACTTCCCGCATCTATGTGATTGACACTAAACCCGACCCCTTTGATCCGAAGATTGCAAAGATCGTCGAAGCTGACGTGATCGCCAATCGTACTGGGTACAGCCGGCTGCATACGGTTCACTGCGGGCCCGATGCAATCTACTTAAACGCGATCGGTTCTGCCGAAGGAGGCTCCCCTGGTGGAATCCTTAGAATCGATCACAATACTTTCGAGCCCCTGGGGGCGTGGGAACTGGATCGCGGACCTCAAACACTGGCATACGATTTTTGGTGGCACATTGGGTTGGACGTGGCCATAACCAGCGAATGGTGCAAGCCTGAGCTCTTCGAAAACGGACCTTCGCTGGCGGATATTGTTGCCGGCAATTACGGTCACAAGATTCATTTCTGGGACTTGCGGCGACGGCGCCACATCCAAGAGGTTGATCTGGGTAGCGAGAATCAGATGGTTTTGGAGTTGAGGCCGTCCCACAATCCCACCAAGGCTTACGGTTTCGTGGGAGTAGTTGTCAATAACCAGGACCTCTCGGGTTCAGTCTGGACCTGGTACCAGGACAATGGCAAGTGGGCAGTTACAAAGGTGATCGAAATTCCTGCAGAGCCTGCTGACCCAGAATTGTTGCCGGAGGCCCTGAAGGGACTTGGGGCGGTACCGCCCCTTATCACCGACCTGGATTTGTCACTGGACGACAAGTTCCTGTACGTATCTTGCTGGGGAACCGGACAATTGAGACAGTATGACGTTTCCGATCCGTTCAATCCCAGGCATACCGGAACCGTAGAAATTGGCGGCATTGTCAAGAAAGCTTCCCATCCCAAGGCGGGTTCCCCGGTGGGTGCTCCGCAGATGTTGGAGATAAGCCGGGATGGGCGTCGGGTCTACGTTACCAATTCCCTTTATAGTTCTTGGGATGACACCTTCTATAAAGACATAAAGGGTTGGATGGCAAAGATTAATGTGGATCAGGAAGGTGGGATATCGGTCGACGAAGACTTCTATGTGGATTTTGGGGAAGGGAGGGCTCACCAAGTGCGACTTGAAGGAGGAGACGCGTCTTCTGACTCCTTCTGCTATCCCTGACCGGTAAAACAAGTGTTAGCTACGCTGCCGGCTCACGCTGAACCCGCTGCATTGGCATCCTTGGGGCCGCTAATCGGATTAGCGGCCCTTGGCGCTTTTCATGGCATCAACCCGGCAATGGGATGGCTCTTCGCAGTAAGTCTGGGTTTACAACGGCAAAGCACTTTGGCTGTTGGCAACGCCCTATTGTTCATTACCCTGGGCCACGTCGCGTCGTTGGCGGCCGTTGCGGTTGTTCTGGTGCTGGCCGGGTATTTCGTACCGTTGTTTTGGGTGCGTATTGCATCGGGAATTGTCCTGCTTTTTTTTGGAATCTACAAATTGGTCTTGTACTACCGTCACTTTCGCTGGGTGGGAATGAACGTCAATGGACTCGATCTGGCAGGATGGTCATTCCTTATGGCTTCATCCCACGGTGCAGGATTGATGCTGGCACCCATCGTATTAAACATTGAGGAAAAAGGAGGCGGTTCGGCACCGGAACTGGAGCACCATTCGGGGTTCCTGGATCTGACGGATTCTGCGGTTGCCTGGGGGATCGGTCTGTCGATTCATACCTTTGCCATGCTATTGGTTATGTTGGTAATAGCCTTGGCAGTTTACAAGTGGCTAGGCTTAGGTTTTCTTAGAAGAGGCTGGGTCAACATAGACTTGCTTTGGGCTGCTGCGCTGATACTGGCCGGGGTTAGCACTATTACTCTTGCTCTGTTCTACTAATTAGGCAGCGAGATTGTGGGTTCATTGGCAATGCATAGATGCTGCGCGGCAAGTCTCATCACCTTGAATCCAAATTGATATTAAGTATTTGGAACATACGTGCTTCCTTGACATAGGCAACCTCAGTTAGTACGATATTAGCTTAAGGGAAATATTCCCTTATAGCGAAAACCGAGACGGAAAGGAAAAGGAGATCCCATGGAACTGATAATTTTCCTAGCCGTCCTGGCGGCCGCAGGGATACTTGGAATGGTAGCTGCTGGTTGGGTAGTATACCGTTCAAAGGTTGACGGTAAGCGGGTTGAAAACGCAAGAGAAGAGGCCAATACGGTAATGTCCCAAGCGGAGGATGAGAGGCGGAGGATCCTCCTGGAAGCCCAGGAAGAAGTTCTGAAGCTAAGAACCACTGGCGAGAATGAGATAAAGGAGCAAAGGCAAGAGCTTAATCGTCTGGAACGTCGGTATCTGCAGCGAGAAGAACAACTTGAAAAGAAGGGCGAGTCGCTGGAAAATCAGCGAGTCGCCATCACGGTTAAACAGACCGAAATAGAAAAGGCTCTGGATGAAGTAACTGAACTCAAGGAGCAACAAGTTAGGGCCCTGGAAGAGGCCGCAGGTTTAACCGTTGACGAAGCCAAGGACCTGGTGGTGAAAGAAGGCGAAGAAAAGGCCAAGCATGAGCTGGCCCGCCGCGCTTACGACCTAGAACGTGAGCACAAAGCTACCGCCGAGGAAAACGCCCGCCGAATTATTACTTTAGCCATTAACCGTCTGGCTACTGATGTCGTTTCTGAAACCACGACTTCTATAGTATCCTTGCCAAATGATGAGATGAAGGGACGTCTCATCGGCCGTGAAGGACGGAATATTCGAGCACTTGAATCCCTCACCGGGGTGGACATAGTAATTGACGACACTCCGGAAATTGTAACGTTGTCCTGTTTTGACCCCGTGCGCCGTGAAGTGGCGCGGTTAGCCTTGGAAAGGCTGGTTAGCGACGGCAGAATTCAGCCCGCCCGAATAGAGGACATGGTTAACCGGGCGCAGGTTGACATAGAACAGACTATCTGGAAGGCTGGAGAACAGTCGACTTTTGACGTCGGACTTAGCGGAATAGATCCAGAGTTGATCCGATTGCTCGGTCAGCTTAAATACCGCTACAGCTATGGTGAAAACGTCCTAAAGCACTCTATTGAGGTGTGTCTGTTGTCCGGCATGCTTGCCGCCGAAATTGGTGCAAATATTCAGGTAGCGAAAATCGGAGGCCTCCTTCACGACGTCGGTAAGGCGTTGACCCATGAGGTGTCGGGCCCCCACGCCGAAATTGGAGCGGAACTGGCACAAAAGTTTGGAGTTAACAATAACTCTTACCTTTCCATACTGGAGCACCACGACGACGAACATTCCACTATTGAGTCTTTCGTGGTAGCCAGCGCAGATGCCATTAGCGCTGCCCGCCCGGGCGCCCGCAAGGAGTCGCTAGACCAATATGTAAAGCGGCTGCGAGACCTGGAGGACACGGCCATCGGTTTTGGTGGGGTGGAACGAGCCTTCGCAATCCAGGCCGGACGCGAAGTCCGTGTAATGGTAAAGCCTACAGACATAGATGACATTGGGTCTGCAGCCTTGGCCAGGGATATTGCCCGTAAAGTGGAGGAAGACCTGGTTTTCCCGGGTCAGATCAAGGTTACAGTCATTCGGGAAACCAGGAACGTGGAAATAGCGCGCTAAACGTCTTGTCCGGCAAAAAGGTCGGTATGGTTTTCCGGAAAGCCGATTTTCCGGTTTGTCCTAACTAGACATCGGGCCCAAGCGCCGGTCTTTTCGGCACTTGGGCCGTAGTTTTTTATTCGATTGCGGCTATTATCGGGCTTCGCTGCACGGTATGAGGGTCGCGACTTTGAACAGTGTGAATACTCTGGAAGCATTTCTGTCGTATTAGTAATGACGCCGTTGGCTGAAGCAAGGAAGCATACTTTGCGTATTTTAATGATTGGAGACATTATCGGGCAGCCAGGCCGAAGGGCAGTTCGGCAACTGTTGCCGGATTTGCGACAGGAACTGAGCCTAGACATGGTTGTGGCCAACGGGGAGAACACCGCTGGGGGCTTTGGAATTACCCTGGAGACGGCCGAGGAATTGCTGGATAGTGGTGTGGATATCTTGACCTCCGGAAACCATATCTGGGACCAGAAGGAAATTATCCCCCATATGGATGAAGGTCTCCCTCTCATTCGGCCAGCTAATTACCCTGATGCCCCGGGGAGAGGCTATCTGGTGCAGGATGGGGTGATGGTGCTTAACTTGATGGGAAGGGTGTTCATGCCGACTCTGGATTGTCCATTCAGGACTGCCACTGCGGTATTGGCTGAGGCCGAAGCGGAGCATTCGCCGCAAGTTATTATTGTCGATTTTCACGCCGAGGCAACCTCCGAAAAGCAGGGGCTAGGCTGGTACCTTGATGGCAGGGTCAGCGCTGTATTGGGTACTCACACGCATGTAGGAACAGTGGACGCTCGTATCTTGCCAAAAGGAACCGCATTCTTAACTGACGTGGGTATGACCGGGCCATTCAATTCCGTAATCGGCAGCGACACGGACGCAGTGCTCGACCGCTTCCTCACCGGCCTTCCGCAGCGTTTGTCAGTAGCGAGAGGGCCGGTTATTCTCAACTCGGTATTGATTGAAGTAGATGACGGCACCGGTAAAGCCTTATCGATCCAAAGAATTGACCGAATGGTGGATTAGCATGGATGAACTTGTTGACCTGCATTTGCATACACTGGCCTCTGACGGGCGTCTTTCCCCGACTGAACTGGTTAATCTGATAGCCAGCAAGGGAGTAAAGGTGGCTGCCATTTCAGACCATGATACTACCGAAGGTATCAAAGAGGCGGTTCGTGCCGCCCAGGCTCATGATGGGCTGGAAATCATTCCTGCGATCGAGCTGAGCACCGATATTCCCGGCGATGAGATACACATGCTTGGATACTTTCTCCAGTACGAAGATGACGAGTTCCAGGCAATCCTGCGGCGCTTCCGGGAAGGCAGGGTTGAGCGGGGTCGGATGATGGTTGAGAAGTTGGCATCATTAGGCAAACCGGTTGACTGGGAAAGAGTGCAAGAAATAGCTGGCGATGGGTCAGTGGGGCGACCTCATATAGCTCTTGCCATGGTAGAGGCGGGATATTTTGAGGAACCTAAGGAGGCCTTTTACGAGTATCTTGGACGTAATGGTCTGGCCTATGCAGAACGACAGAAAATGACTCCGGAAGAAGGTGTGGAAATGTTGGCCAAAGTGGGTGGACCCGCAGTGCTGGCACATCCTGCCAACTTAGAAGATCTGGATACCAAGGTGGCACAACTGAAAGAAGCGGGTTTAGTTGGAATGGAAGTCCACTATTCTATGTACTCCCAGGAAACCATTCAAAGACTGCTGGCGGTTGCCCAGCGCCATGACCTGATTCCTTGTGGGGGCAGCGACTACCACGGATTGGGCAATACCGGGGAGTTGGAGCCAGGCCTCCTAGGACCCCCAGTAGAATCGGTTGAGCGCTTGGCCGACGTAGCCCGAAACCTGGCAAGGAATAGATAGAACTTCCCTTATATTTTTCAATGTATCTGGAGCTTATCGGCCTATACGTTTACTCCTATCTGGCAGGATCAATCCCGACTCCCTACATCATCGCAAAGGTCGTGAAGGGGATTGACTTACGGCAGTACGGTAGTGGCAATGTGGGCGGTTCTAACGTCATTCAACAGCTGGGTAAGGGTTGGGTTGCCCCTTTGGCGCTCGTCGAATTCTTGTTGAAAGGGTTGTCTCCGGTAGTTCTTGGTTTCATCCTCCTGGACCAGATGCCTGGTTTGCATCGCGCGTCTCCCTTGTTCCTTATTGCTCCACTGCTGGCTCTGGCAGGTAACAACTGGTCGGTCTTCTTACGCTTTCAGGGTGGGCGGGGGTTGATGGTTGTCTGCGGCATGTTGATTGCTTTGGTTCCCTTACTGTTTGTAATTGGCATTGCCGTCTATCTGATTGGGTGGAGAATTAGCCGGAGTTCGGCAGTATGGGCACTAACTGCTGTTGGGCTACTACCAATTATAGCATTCGTGACCGGAGGATATTTGGTTGTCGATTGGTTAGGTCTGTTGGCGGGCCTGTCCGGAGAGACACTGACTCCGGTGCCCTTGGGTGAAGTTGTCGGGATAAGCTGGTTTTGTTTAGTTATTCTGGTGATAGTGATCTTGAAGCGTACGCTTTCGAATTCGATGGCGTTTCCGATGGAGATGTCCAAGAGGAAGGTGCTGTTTAACCGCGTTTTTCGAGACAGGGACTTTGACGACCGAACGGCTTGGTTAAGCCGGGGGCCCGAATAGGTGCTCAACCAAAGAGGGAGATCAAGTATTGACTCAAGGACAATCTGAACAAACTACTCAAGGAAGTGGGGGTTCATTGACCTGCCATTGGCACCCGGATGTGGAAACCGGGCTGTCTTGCAGTCGGTGCGGAAAATATATGTGCGCCCATTGTCTTGTACAAGCTCCGGTAGGGATTCGTTGCCGGGAATGTGGCAAGGCTGCGCCGATGCCCACTTACGATGTTAAGCCAGCCAACTATACTTGGGGTATCGGCGTTGCGCTGCTGCTGATGGTTGTTGGCACGCCGGTGTGGGTGTTGCTGGACAATGCGCTATTGGTGTTTGGGGCATTTGGGTCCGTCTCGGGTTTGCTGGCAATCGTTTTTGGATATGCAACCGGAGAATTGATCAGTCGCGCAGTCAATCGGAAACGAAGCATAATGCTGGCGCTCATTGCAGGCTTTGTGATTGTTGCCACGTATCTGATTAGTAGGTTGTTTAGTCCTTACGGGTTTGGAGTTATGGACGTTCTGTTCGTGGCGGTCGGGGTATTCTTGGCCTGGCAGCGCCTCAGGCGCTAGTCTGGTTTCAACTCGCTCCACAGCCTGTTCACTGTCTCAGAGATCAGGCCATATGCGAAGCCCCTTCGCTGCAAATGTGCCGCCACTTTTTTTCCGAATTCCTCGAAGGAACAATCCTGGTTCACAAGTCGGACTGCCAGCTTTCGCCCGGCATTGCCAGCATTGGTAGCTTCATCTATCCCCTCAAGGGCGTCCTCGATAGTGGTTTGGTCTACCCCTAATTGCCTCAGTTCCTGTTTCAGGGCACGGCTCCCTTTGGGACGGCGGCGTTCACGACTGCTTATCCACTGGCCGGAAAAGGCTTCATCATCAAGCAACTTATGGTCAAGAAGATAATCTATGGTCTTGTCCACAGTTTCGGAGGTGAAGCGTCTTTCCATGCGTTGCCTTACCTCATGGACGGTACGAGGTCTATAGCTCAGAAAACGGAAGGCGGCGGCGAGGCATTTGGAAAAAGATTGCCCCGGCGAGCCTTGTTCGGAATATCGCCGAGGCATGTTGGGTGGCATGTGACAGTGTATTGGAAGTGAGAAGCGGCTTTATTCAGCTTCTTCTGGATCGGACAACGTGGCCAAAATGGCGTTTACGTCATTTTCTGTGGGCGGATTGTCCGTAGCGGCAGCTTCAGGCTCGTTAGAAAGTTTGGCACGGAGCCTTGTCTCGATGGATTCGGCAATTTCCTGATGCTGATCAAGGAAATCTTTGGAATTCTCCCTTCCCTGACCGAGACGAGTGTCGCCGTAGGAGTAGAATGCCCCGGCTTTTTTCAGGATGCCTTCATTGACGCCTAGTTCCAGAAGGTCCCCCATTTTACTGATGCCCTTATTGAACATAATGTCGAATTCGGTAACCCGGAAGGGTGCCGCTATCTTGTTCTTTACTATGCGGGCTCTGACCCTGCTGCCAATGATTTCTGTACCCTGTTTTATGGATTCGGTCCGGCGCAGGTCGATTCGCACCGAACTGTAGAACTTGAGAGCGCGTCCGCCAGGGGTGACCTCTGGGCTTCCATAGGTTATTCCCACCTTTTCTCGCAACTGGTTGATGAAGATTACCGCGGTGCGAGAGTGATGAATCGTTGAAGTGAGCTTACGAAGGGCCTGGGACATGAGCCGTGCCTGAAGACCAACATGGGTGTCTCCCATGTCGCCGTCAATCTCTGCCTGTGGTACCAAAGCTGCCACGCTATCGACCACTATGGCGTCGACCGCTCCGCTCCGCACAAGTTGCTCGGTAATGTCGAGGGCTTGCTCACCGCTGTCAGGCTGAGATATCAGTAATTCTTCCAGATCAAGACCGCAATTTGCGGCGTATGAGGGGTCCAGGGCGTGTTCAGCATCTACGTAAGCAGCAATGCCGCCGGCTTTTTGGGTCTCGGACATAATGTGTATGGCTAGGGTGGACTTTCCGGCAGATTCACTACCGTAAATTTCTGTCACCCTGCCTCTGGGAATTCCGCCCGCTCCCAAGGCAATATCCAAGGCCAGCGACCCGGTGGGTATTACTTCTGTAGAAAGCCGTTGGATACCTTCCTCTCCCAGGCGCATAACAGCGCCTTTTCCGTGATCCTTTTCAATGCGCCCCAGCGCGATTTCCAGAGCGGCTAGTTTGTCTTTCTTGATATCAGTGGCCATATCCTTCCCTTCCCTTACACA